GGATCTCCTTTCCTTTGATTTTATCATCTGGAATAATTTGAGGTGATGAATAAAAGAGGCCTGCTCACTGCTCATTTCCAGCTCTCATTTCTGAAGGACAGAAGTCCATGACCTCACAGATTCAATTTTGGTCTGTGCTGTTATATGTAATTTACTTCTATTGTTAAACTTTCAAGCAATCAGCCAGTATGAGCTGAAAGAGACTGAAAGCAAGTTGGCCTCATGGAGGTTACCTTCTTGCCATGATCCCCAGGATCCATATTTCCCTCTCCTCCCCCTTTCTGCTGATCGACCCCAAAATCAGACATTAAGTGGGAAGTGCAGATGCAGCTGGTCCTTGTCTGCTCTGCCTGCCTTTGAAGACTCTCCTGCCCAGCCAGCTGCAGGGAGAAGGGGGGAATTTTGGCTGAGGGACCTTGGGGACTGAGAAGATGTCCTGCATGTCATCTGTTGTGTCACTTACCAGGAATAATGGCTCTGAGTTCTGCTCTCTTGTCAAGCCCAGTTTTTAATATCAGGAGAGAAACTCTCTCAGCTCCCCAATTTTTCTGAGAGCCTTGGCCTCAACCTCCCTTCTCACTGTAACCACTTGCCAATTTCCCTCCACTTCATTTCTTTTCAGAGGTTTTCCACAGCAGACCTGATTCTTGCTGTGCATCTGAAGGTCAGGCAACCTTGGTTTGCTCTTTAGGTCAAAAGGAGTTTCTCCAGCTGAAAGAGCGGGTCAGGCATTTGGCTTTGCCTCAGTGTTGATGCATCTCCAACCTTTCCTCACCTCCAACAGAAATTTAGGAGGGACAAGATCATGGGAAGGGAGTAAAAGGAATTAAAGATAATTAGCAGCAAGTGAACTAGCAGCAACTCCATCCCCAAACAATGACTCACCAGCGGAAAGGTTGGCTGGAGGGAATCTTGGTGAAAGTATAAAGTGGATTTAGACCTTTCTTGACAGTGATGATTCCCCCAAAGAGATAATCGCCTGGCCTGAAGTGATTTACCCAGTCTAGCCGACCTCGTTGTGAAGTCAAGGGGCATTTTGCCTTCAACATCTCACAGGATATCTGGGGAAGGAGAAGCAGAAAAAAGAGGAAAACCATTCCTCGCATGACTGGCACAGCCACTTGCTTTTCACAAGCAGTCAGCAGAAGGATTAGAAGCAGTCCGAATGTGAGAGTTTGGTGGCTTTCTTGTGCAAAAGCTTTGTGTCTGAAAGGATCTGAGGGAACGAATCCTCCTCAAGGGCCCTGGTCTTCAGCTCCAACTCTCAGTGCTCCTGGAGACTTTTATGCTGCTGTCATTTCGGGCTCAGGGCAAGATGTCATCCTTTGTCCCACTCTGCTCTGCTGGTTGTTTCAAAGGCGATCTTGAGGGAAATCCCTGGTTTTCCTTGTTCAGAAGGAAAACAAGACCATCCTTAGTTGTAAATTACAAAGAGGGGAAAATAAGCTCTGCCACATCCTGAATTCATTGGGGTATGTTGGGGGGGGCGAGATGGAGTCACAGAAAACATGTTTTCCAAATGGACCAGATGTGGTCGCCTCATGTCAGATATTTTATGAAGGGACAAATTTAGCAGTTTCAGACACAGTTTCTATCTGAATAAATAAATCCATGTTCAGGGCACATAAGGATCCCAAATATTTTGAGAGTTTCTTTTCAGATAGTCAGAGGAGAACAACCTGATATCAGGTCTAGCCATCACCAAAACAAGGGAAGATGGATCAGGGTCTCCTGCCTGAAAAAGTGGGATAAGGAGATATTTATTTATTTATTTATTTATCTATCAATCAATCAATCAATCAAATTTGGTCACCACCCATCTCACTAGGGAGTGACTCTAGTGGTACAGTTAAAACAAGTATGCATATTAATTAAAATACAATAAAATTACAATAAAAACCATATTCATACATAAATAATATCTTCCAAAGTACTGCTGGGACATAAAGATATTAACCTAC